CATGTCCTTTCTGGCTTCACTACTGAGCAGAACAAGAATTCCTTAAAGGCAGTCCTTAAAATCCTATTCCTTAAGCTTTGATAGTGGAAAGACAGAAGCTGCTGGTATTGTCCCTATAAATACAAACCAGCTGTCTCAGCAGTAGATGAAGACTCTCTACAATATGATGGCTTTGGAAGGGTGGAGTTTCCCAAAGGCATTTGGTACCCTCAGGAGGCCAGCAGAGACTGGCTTTTGTGGGGGAGGAAGGAAACAAAGCAGGAGCCGATGCCTGAGCTCTGAAACGCTGCAATCAGGAACATCAGGCCCACCTCACCCAAATAATTTTTGCCCTGATAGTTTACAGAGGCTGAAATACTTCCAGGGACTTTAAGGTCACACTTAGAAAGGCAAATTGCTTTGTTTCAAGTATGATCCTCTTACGTTGCCCATATTAATTCAATACCAACCTCAAATCCTGAACATAAGCTTGTATTTAGGCTTCACAGCAAACAATATCACCACGGGGGTGATGGGTGTGTAGGAAATGTTTGTTTGTTGGGATTTTCTTTTTTGCCATCAAGACAGTTAAAGGATTACAGGCCCCTCATCCAAAAGTGCAAAAAAAATGTTAACCTCCAATTAATTTACCATTTAGTCACACATGTCTTTCAATAAAGCCTGCAGGGTTCTTGATAGCTATAACCAAACAGAAAAAAGGAACTTTCTACACCATGCAACTCCTTATTTAACTTTGGAGTTCAGCATCTGTAAGTGATTTTATGTGGGCAGTTTTAAGTATGCTGCAGTATATCTGAGATATGGGTTACTGCAATTCACCAGCAGTTTTAACTACTGCAGATTGTCTGCTGTATGGGTTTTACAGTTTGCAATAAAAGCCATTAACTGCAACATCCCACTCAGGGTCTCATAGAGAAGAAGTTAAATTCATTTTATGTCTGTGACCACACTTGCAGATTTCAGCTCTTTTTTTCTGGGAGGAGGGAAAAAAAAAACAACCAACCACCAAAAACCAACCAAGCAACACAAAGAAACACCCAGTCTTCTTGAAAGACAAAAGGGCTTTAATTACACCAGGACTGCTGCCAAATCTCAGACATCAAGAGGACTGAAATAGCCGATTCTAAAAGTCACCAGCCACGTTTATCTGCTGGAACTGTCTCTTTCTGGGAGGTAAAAGCTGGTGCTGAGTGGTAGTGATGCACAGATTACTGTGCACTGGAGGTGGAAATAACAGAAATGTAGGTTTCATGAATGTGAAAGATCCCCAAGTGTAATCTAAATGACAAAAGGAGAAGGTATTCCTCCTTATGAGTGGTAAGAATAGAAATACAAGATGGTGATGATCAAACAGAGCCCCTAAACCTATTGTGGCCCTAAACCTACGGAAGGCAAGCAACAATTATTTTCTTAAACTGAGATAAGCTTGATTACCTAATTAGTATTACTCAGTTTTAGGAAATATAAAAAGGGAATGCAGCTTTTAAGGGTCTAGTCCTGACTGAATGACTGTTCTTTGTAACCTTCTTTTGGCTGAACTTCTCTAAGTTTAGAAGTTTGTACTGAAATTATGACCTTTTACCTTTTGTGCTTTGATGGGTCCAGCCCGAGGCTGTTTCTGTCTTTGCTCTTTTGGTTCTGGTAACTTGTCTGTGGACTTCTCAGAAAGTACAGGGCCAATTTCATTGTCACTGCCACTGGAAGCTGGGGCTCCAAACTGAATAGTTTCTATACCAAGATCAACTCCACCTTCTTGTCCAGGCTTTGTCCCCTAGTTAAAAGGCAAACATTTAATTCATTATGAACAATTTCTGTATCAATACAATGACTACGGTTCAGAAAAGAGCACAAAGAATGCTCAGCTGAAAACCACTAAATGGGTACTTTTATCTTCTGCCAGCAAAAGTATTATTTGTGACTGCAACAGATTTGCAAGAATAAACAATGTCTGAATGTACACTTCCTCCTCCTCAAGTACTGTATTGTTTATACAAGCTCAAGAAAAAAGCAGTGAAGAAATATGTAAACACAATCAAGATCAAGAGGCACAAATACAGTATCAAAATGTCCAGAGTCAGGTTCACAACATTCTCCTGAAAGCTCAACACTTAATTTTCAATTCCAGAGGAACAGTAATGACTTTAAAAATATTTCCAGATCTGTTACGCAGTTAAAATGGTCTCCTAAGACAGCTGTCTCACATTCCTGCAGTTTAAAACAATTAAGACCAAGAAAGTAAAACCACAGCACTTTAAATGTAAAATTCAGGACTATGCAAATTCCATGAGATAAGCAGAGATAATACAGTTATAAAGCACCTACTGCTTTTTGCATCTCCGATTTATGGAACACAAAAAACCCATTTAGTTCCCTGGAGACATCCTGTTTGTCTACACTACTGAACTCTACACAAGTGTTCACATGCAAACCTCACAATATTTTTCCTCAAAAAAATGTACTGAATAACAGTTATCAATAAAATCTGGGAAAGGCTGAATTTTTATCAACAGAACACTTTTTTCCATGCACTAGCCTGTATCCTGTGTTTCTATGCTATCTCCTGACTGCATGGAATTTTACACATACTAGGCACACCTGGATAAATTGATAATTTGTACCCAATTCCAATGAGATCTAACTTGGGTAAGCTTCACACACAGTTACTCTTCTTCCCTTACCTCTGGAGATGTAGCTGAACCAAAAGATGTCAGAGGTTTGTTCCAGGCACTGACTGAAGGTGGCTGAGGTGGGCTAATGGGTCCCACTGACAATGAAGAAAAGAGTTAAAAAAACCCTCAGTGTTGCTAGATGCATGCAACTAAAGGTATCAATTGACTGAGAATTAAATTATAGATGTCTTGATTAAATAAGCTTTAATTAACCTATTCAGCAGTTAACTATATGCTACCAATTTATAGCTGCTTTCAAGTGGGGCAATCATCATGTCTGGAAGCATGACCAAGCCTGACAAAACAGACTCCTGAAGGGAGTGACAGTTTGCTCATTACTTGTGAATGAAGAACATGATAATATAAAATATTGAGTAATATTATACTGCAAAAACCTCTTTTCAGCTGTTACTAAGCTGAAAAGAATGCTGCCCTCTATTCTCTGTGCAAAATACATCTGCAGGTAAAAAGACATCCAGAGAGACCGCTGGCAATCATCTTTCTCTAACTACAATGTTTGCCCTCCCCCCCCCAAATCCAGAAGACACCACTTACATTTTTTAGAGATGTCATTCAGAACTGCTGTAGGAGGCACTTTGCTGTCCCACAGTTCAGTTCCCAGACCGTTGTGAGCCTGGGTGTTCTGCAGGACTTTGCCTGACACGGTGTATTCCGTGCTGGCTGTGCCTCCTGCAGCCTGGCTTTGTGTCGGAACAGGAGCTTGGGGCTGAGCCGGAGACTGTGCCGGACACGGGGGCTGTGCCTGGGCTTGAGCCTGAGCTTGTGCCTGCTGTGCAGCTGCAGCTGCTGCCTGTTGCTGCTGCTTTTTGGCAAATCTGGGTGGGAGCTTGGAATTCTGACCTCGGCCTTTTTCGCTTGATCCTTTTTTGGTCCAAACCTGCAAGCAGAAGCCCATTTTATTCTTACAGCTGACAGTCTGTACAGACACCAACTGTTCATTGCAAAAAGCAAACTGATTAACCCAATCTTAAAGAAGTTTATTTTTTAAGGAGTATTTGATCACAGTAACAACAATTTCTCATCCATTTTCCTTTTGGAAATATACAAGCAACAGGATAAATCTTTATCACAGTATGAAAAATGGTGTTTTCAGTTTGCCAATTCCACTTGCCCGACAGTGCCCCATCAAAAAGTACAGAATCTCAAGATGGCTAAATGAACATTAATTTTATTAAATCTGAACAATTTTAATATTAAATGTAACTGTAATACAGTTTCTTTGGAAGGAAGATTCTGCACACTTTAACAACATTCCCAGCACTGCAAGTAGCATTTTCCCCACTATAAATGCTGGTCTTGTACCTGCACTGTTTGTTCTTCCTTCTTTCTGCGCTCTTCATCTTGCAAGCGTTTTTGCTGCTTCTTAGACACCACTTCTGTGAAACCATCATCATTCAAGTTAGATTGGGAGTCTTCAACTACTGTCACTTCAGGGTGATCATCAATGATCACAACACCTATAGGAAAAGGAAAGGTATAGATGCTGCTGTTTTAACAGCTTCAGGTGCAATGCACCAAGCCAAAATTGGCTTTAGAGTGGAAGCTACTGCCCCACAGACACAGATGGGAGCCCTGATCAATGGCAAACTTCTGCTTGCCAAGTCCTTTGCTGCTGAGCTTGAAGACAAGGAGTTAATATTTAAGAACTTGAAAACTAGAGGTTCCAGTACTAGATTCTCCAGGAAATATGAACTAAAACATAATAGCGAATAATGAAAAACCTTCCTGGATTTTAGCTCTAAGCTTATCAGTGACATCCCCCTGCCTTTACTTATGAAGGTTAACTAAATTATGGAATGTGGTGGAGAACAGTATGAATGACAAAGTCAAGATTAGGTGATTGTAGAAAATTGTTTTTATCTGTACATAATAACATACAATGACATTTGCCAACTTTCAGAGGCACATACATTAATTAGACATGACAAAGGTAGCAATGCTCAAGTGTACAATTACTTTGGTGTTCTAAAAAAAAAATATCACCCTTTTTGTAAGATTTCAAACTTCTAGCTCTATATGCAACAAAACTAGCAGAACTACCGAAAATTATCAGCATATTAGCAATACATACTTGCGTAATTATTAAGATCAAATTGAGACAAGGCATCCACTTTTTCCTTAGGCTTCTTTGGACCAGCCTTTGGTTCTTCTCTCTTTTTGCCACTTGCATCCTTGGTGCTCTTTTGTCCTGCAGCAGCAGCACCTCCGTCCTCCTGATGTACAGAGCTGCCATTGGCGGGGTCAACACCAGGCACAGGTGCTGCCTGCTCTTCAAATGGCCTGTATTAGAAAAGAAATTCAAAAATTAAGCCACAGAGAACATTCATATCATCCTTCTGTAGGGCTGTAAGAGTCTACTGTGCAACTTCTTAGTAGGATCCAGGCTGTTACTTTCAGCTCCTCAATGAGAAGCTCAACAGCGAAAGCTGTTTTGGGGAAATACCAAATGCCCTGTCAAACTTCCCATCAAACTTAGCATACAGGAAAATAAAGTTTAATCTAAATGACAAGCATTTCTCAACATGCTTGTCTGTGTTAGGTGATTGAACTAAAGTGCAATGCAGCAATTTATGTATTAACTGCAAAACTGCTCACACGAACATTTCTGCTTTCATCCAAATCTTGAGAATCATAGCTCAAGTCAGAAAGAGCACTGCCATTTTTTTAATCAGGCATTTTTAGCATTGTGCATACAAGAACACTCTGCTCTTAGCTTCGGGTTCCAAGTGTCCGTATACAAACAGAAAAAATAGAAAGTACAGAGCCATGGGTGCATGTGTCAGTCTTACCCTCTTTTCTATCAGTCTACAAATCTAAATTAACTGCTTATGCTTCTAAACCACGAGAGGTCAACAGAAGGCTATGACCACATGTGGTTCCTCACAGGAGGTGGTACTCACCCTCTTTTCCCACTTCTGGGAGGAGGACCACTCCGCCTTTCACTCCTGGGCCCTGAGAAATTCCTCCCTGGTTTAGCTGGCCCATTGTTGCCACGTCTGTTTTGACGGTCTATCCCCGGCCGCTGACTAGAGAAGCTTCTCTTGGCTATTTCCCTTTTTGGAGCTCCGGCGTTTTCTCCTGCCTTTGCAGCCACCTGTGCTGCTGCATCTGCTGTTTTCTTCTCATCCCTCTCCCGCCTCTCATTGAAGTCGCTGCTTTCCGAGGCTGTTTCCCACTCTTCATTTGCCTGATCCGAAGAATTCTGGTTGGACAAGTCTGGTGTCTTACTTCCTGACACATCCAGAGCAGGGTTGGAGGGCTCATTAACTGCACTAGTAACTGTGGCACTTGTTGATGAGCTGGTTACCACCTCACTTATCTTGGATGCGGCCTCTCTCTCCTTTAGGCGCCTGAAGCGTGGTGGTTTATCTTGCCTTGGAGGCCGAGCAGGCCTTTGTCTTCGTGGCCTCTCTCTATTTGGATCAAACTTTCTCTCAAATTTTGGAGGTCTTTTATCAATTGGTATAGGACCATAATGCTCATTCCGTCTTGGAGGCTCCCCATCTTCTGGTTTAATGATCTCTGTTTGCCTTGGGTTCCACTGATTGTCTCTGTAGGCCGGTCTCCTGATTGTGGATGGACGTGGAGGACGCCCACCAGGATCCCGGCCACCACGTCTGTACATTCCCCCTCTGCCTCGTCTAGAAGGCTCTCCTTTAGGGAGAAATCCTGGTTTGGGTTTGTTGTCATCATCTCTTATGTATGTTTTCTCTAGAGATCTGTTGTCTACCCTGATATTGTTCTCGGGTTTGAATGACAGGGGCTTTGGAGGCTTCTTGCCATCAGCTCTTTCTTCTCTTTTCGGGTGCTTGCCCTTGATGACACTGTCTTTGTCTGACAGCAGTGTGTCACTTGCGCTCTCGTGCACTTCGCTGTCAGAGTCCGTCTCTGAACCGTGCTGGCGCCGCCGCTTCGGGATTACCTCAAAGTCAGAGCTCTCACTACGAGTTTCACTCTCTTCTCTTTGCCTAACAGGCCCTGAAGGCACATGGTCTGTTCTAGGCTTAGGATCTCTGTAGTGTGGGTACTCTCTATTATGGCCTCTGCTGCCCCGACCACGCCCTCCATAAGAACCCCTGTAGCTACGGCCTCTGGAATAATACTCGCCGCGACCTCTGCCTCTGTATCCCTGATCTGGGAACCAGTCTCTATCCCTGGCCTCCTTCCAGTATGTCCTAGGTGGTAAGCCAGGCTCTCTCTTTACTGGCCTGGTTTCTAAGCGTGGTTTCTCCACAACCTCCTTGCTGACCACCTTCTCAGGCTGCTTCTCCTCCTTCGCGGCAGGAGCGGGCGGCTGCGGGTGGGGCTGTGATTGTGCCGCCAGCGGAGCGGGCGGTGGTGCAGGGATGGCCGGGGGAAGCTGGGGAGTGGTCGGCTGGGCAGCTGGGAGCTGCTGCTGGACTGGGGGTGTGGGGGGCTGCACCACAGCCTTAGCTGCAGGCTCAGGCTGGCTGCCCTCCTGGCTCGCCAGGGTCGGAGCGGCATCCTGGGTTATCTTCTTAGCCAGAGGAGCACTGCTGGAGGTGGATCTCTCCGGCTCAGCCTGAGGCAGTGGCACTTGAGGTGCTTCCTTTTTGTCACTTTTTTCAGGTTTGCTTGTTTTTTCACTAGCTGTCTTTTCTCCTTCTTTTTCCTTTCTCTGCTCACGCTCTTCTCTCTGCTCACGCTCTTCCTTCATATCTCTAAGCACAGGTTTTTTAATAGGACCTGATCTTCTGACTGGTCTATCACCGCCCTCATCTCTCCTGCCATAACCTGGCCTAGGACCCCATCTTGTTTCAGACTTAGGTTTGAAAGTTTTCTCAGGTTTTGGTCCTTCTGATGTTCTATTATTGATCAAAATTTCTTTTTTCGGTTTGATCTCAAGTCTCTCAATTGTCTCCTTTGCCTCGATAGGCCTGTTGTTTAATTTAGGGATATTTGCTGCTGTTTCATTCCTCTGGTCTTCTGATTTTAGAGAGTGACTTGAACCATGGGAAATGCTTCTCTTTAGTGAAGAGTGACTTTCTCCCACAGGCACCAATTCTTCTGGAGAGCTACGTGTAACTTTCTCATTCACTCCTTCAAAATTAACTGCTGTGTTAGGTGTGTCAGTTTGGAGAGGTTGTACATCTTCCAAAGGCCTGCTTGGGAATTTCTGTACCTCTACCTCTCCCGATTCTCTGAAAAATTCTGTCTTTGGATGAGAGTCCAACTGGTTGTGTTCTACAGGATAAGCACTGGCAGGGACAGCAACTCGTTCTTGCTCCAAGTGTGCTTCAGACCTAAGCAGAAAGCAATTAAGAATGTTAGTGTGGGGGGAAAAAATTTACTCATACATATACTCCCAAATCAAATAATTTTCTATTAAGGATTTGTGTCAGTTCTAGGAAGTAACAGGTAATACTTTTAAATGAAGCCCCCAAGTATTGCCCAGACAGCAACAGAGCAAAAAGAATTTTTGAATACTTTTAAGACACAGAGGAAAAGCTTTCCTGACCATCCATCAAGCAGGAAAGGTCAGAAGTGACTGTCCTGCTTTATACCACTTTTACTTCACACACCACTTTTGAAACAAATATACATCAGACAGAAGTTCTCTAATATGGGAAGAACTGAGAGCAGATGGAGAAAAGGACAACACTGCAGGAGTGTTCTACAAAACTGAAAATTCAAAATATGGCAATCATTATTCATCAGAATAAGCTAAGGGTCCTAAACCAAGGGGTAAATTGTCTTTCTACACTGGACTACAGAGCAGGGGTGCCTGCTGTTCCATACAACAGTACTAAGTACACTGCATCCCCCAGTCACAACTCCCCTTTCAAGTTGTGTGTGAAGAGCAGCCACAACCCAGTCAGTTTAAACTGTGTTTTGCAACAAGTTCCACAGCCAAGTGTGTGAGTCTGTGTGACTCGGAGAGGTGACGTGCACATAACTCAGGCTTTACCTCAAGTCGTCAGGCTCTTCCAGCACTTTGGGAGGAGAAGTAGATTGCTGAGACTCTGTGTGGGGGTAGGGGTCTGACCCCCACATCATGCGGGGCTCTGACAGAGGCACAGTGTGCTCCCTCGCCGAGCGAGCCATGTGTTCAAACGAATCCGAGCCAGCTGCTGATCCCTCCATCTGGTCTCTTCTCATCAGTGGCTTGGGAGGCATAATTCCTGAGGCAGAGTTAAGTTCAACAATTGAAACAAGTTTAACAACAGCAAAGAAACCTACCTCAATACAAACAAAGCCTATCAGGAGGTACAAAGCAATGCTGTTCTCTCCCCTCCACTCTCCTTTCCTGACTCATTTTGACAGTGGAGTATGACTAAATCATACTCAACACTCATACCCCATGCACCAACAAAAGGAAAAATCTGTCTGCTTTCATTATAACGGGGAGAACCAGGTCTGCAGACCTTCATGGATGAAGTTTCTGCTGTAAGATCTCAATGGCAAAAGGCAAGATGAGTGTACACAGAGGTGATCTTTTGTACTCCATTAAGGACTCCAGCTCTCTTTCTTTTGTAACATTTCAAAGACATTCTGTAGTTTTGACTGACTTTGCTTAGCCTGCCATTTTCTCTGTTCATTCCCTGCACTCACTGAGGATATCCATTCCCTTGCTCATTAGTTGGGTAGGTATCTCTGTTACATTACATGACAGACTTCTATTATTTATGCCAAACAGCTTTCCTAACTGCAAATCAGATGGCCATTCCACAAATTAAAAAGGACTTTCTAGTGCCAGGAATCTGAAACCACAAATTTATTAAGACTATGGAGTTGCTAGTATGTCATACAAAAGTAACAAAATTTCATGGGTTTTTGAGAAAGTAATGTACTGCCAAGTGCTAACATGTAATGAAACACAAATGGTAAATACACTCTTTCTCTCAGTTCAACCTAACTCATGCCAGCTTTACTATCTGTAACAAAGTAGAGGTTTATGCTGACATTCTGAATCATCTTAACTGTCACTAACATGGTTGCAGTGTGATAGCTGTGATTTTACTTTATAGTCAAAGGGATACATTCTCATACATCTATAATTTTAGTCACATATGATTAAAATCTATTTTGTCTCAAACAATAAAATAATGTCGGTTTCTTCTCAGAAACCCACCCATTCACCAAACAAAGTGTGGCCAGGGAAAGACTTCTATTTCAAAACCAAGTAAATTCAACAGTCAAAGAAATGCTTCCAGATTTACCAGGATGAATAGGAGGCATGTCCATTGCAGGTCTTCCTGACATCATCCGTGGGTCCATGTAGGATTGCATCATGAGCCACCGTGGATCAAAGCCCATGGAAGCCAAATGCTGAGGATGTGGCTGCATGGGCTGGTAAAGGGGTCTGTGCTGGGGGGGTGGGACAGGGCCACTCGAAGGCTGGGAGGGAGCAGACTGTGGAAGGACACTTTGCTGCTGCTGCTGCCACTGCTGCTGCTTCATTTGCTCCTGCACAACAGAAAACAGTATTACAGGACTTTCTGTTAAGATGAAGATTTGAGCAGAACTCAAATAACCCTTGTAAACAAGTAGTACAATTATCTCTAGGACACTAAGCATTTCTGAGTTAATTGTAAACATTCATCAGGATGAACCAGGAGTAAACCAGACTGGACGATTTAAAATAGCTACAGCTTTACTGGTGTCCAGCTGAGACACAGAACAACCTATACTTCACACATGTCATTAATGCAAAGAGCTCTTCAGATCACAGGACCCAAGTTCAACTCACATTTGTGAGTGTCAAACCCTTTTAGGAAAAGCTGCAGAAGCAATGATCAGTCATCAGACCCCTGGTTCCACAGGCAACCACAGCACAGTGCCAGTGTGAGCCAGTTTTAAAACCTCTCTTGCCTTCTGCTCACTTTTGTACCTTGAAGGTTCAAGAACTGTTTCATGGAATTCCTGCCAATACCATGGATGTTATAGAAGCTGGAAACCAACAACTTAAGCTTTTTGAAACTCCTATGGTCATGTTCTTACTCAGAATGAAGCTGAAGACATTCTTTAAATGAGCTTCCTTCTTTTAATGAACTGGTTCATTACCTGCTGCCTCTGAAATCTTGGTGGCAGTGATTTCTGGAACTGTTTAGAATAGCCCGAGGAAACAGCAGGACGAGGCTGAGATCCCGAATCCGGCTCACTCTCATGAGTCACCTGTGAAACCTCTTTCTCATTCCGACCACTGTCTTGTCGAGTAAAGACTGCTTGATCTTCTGAAAAACAACAAAAACCCCACACGAGGGAGACAAGAGTGAATCTCAAAACTACGACATTTCACCACAATGTCAGATAAAGAATGTTGTCCTAAAATGTCTGCCTTCTCTAAAGTCACAGGCTCAGTTTCCAAAACCAATAAAAGCCAAATAAAAAAGTCAAGAACAAGCCCTCAAAGAGACCACTATTGTTAACAGATCTCTCAGTGTCCCTTTTAAACTCAAATACACTGGGTAATCAACCACTGACATTTAGGCTGTACCTATAATGTGATTTAAGAAGTGGTGCATCAATGATACCACAGTGCATTTGAATCAACTTTTTTTTAGAATTAGAATGTGGTTTAGAATAACATAAAGGATAACACAACCTTACTAAGCACAGTCTAACGGATCTGTTGTGGCATTCAAGTTCCACTACAAAAAATGTACCATGTTTAAATAGCTGCCCTTTGTGTCTACTTCTCTCAGCTTGCTGAAAGAACAAAATAGCTGAAATAATTTGCAATGCTTTTTAAGCAACACGGGTGGCTCACTCTTCTTTGGGAAGAGAAGAAAGCCTACATTTCTATCTGTATTCCTCAAAGTCCAGCCCAAATCACAGAACCTATTTTATTCCCTAATCTTTTGATGAGCTGGGCAAACAGGCCTAGCTCAAAGGACAGTTATCAGATGTAATGTGTCGGGAAAATAAATGGTCTAGATGCACTAGGTTAATTAGGTATGCAAATTAGACTTCTAGACTACAGCTACACTCTGTGACTCAGCTTTAAGAAGGATAACTCCTACTTGTGTGCAAGGATACCTTTTTCTTCCTTGTTATTCTTGGTTTCACTTTCTTGTTTTTCTGCTACAGGTGTTGCCACCGGTTCTACAGGCTCAGGAACCTCGTGTGCTGGTTTCTCCTCTTCTTTCTCTTTCTCATTCTCCTTCTCTTCTTTCTCCGTCTCTTTTTCTTTCTCTTTCTCCAGTTCTTGTTCTTTTGCCTTATCCAGTTTCTCTTTTTCTTCTTTTTCTTTTTCTTTCTCCCTTTCCCTCTCTTTTTCCTTTTCCTTCTCCCTCTCTTTTTCTCGCTCTCTCTCCCGCTCCCTCTCCTTTTCCCTCTCCCTCTCTCTTTCCCTCTCCCGCTCCCTTTCCCTCTCCCTCTCGCGCTCCCTTTCTCTCTCCTTCAGAGGGTCTTCCCGGGAGGGTTTTGTCACGCAGCCGAATTTCTCATTTAACCGTTTTAGCTTTTCAGCACAAGCTGCCTTCCGCTGCTCTTCCATTCTCCTTTCTTCCTCTTCTCTCCGCTTACGGGCCCGCTCGACCGCAGCCGAGATCTCTGACTGCTGCCTTCTCCTCTGCTTCCAAATCTCATCTTCATCTGGGACTGGTTTAGGGGGAAAGGGTCCCTGCCTTCCCATCTGGCGATCAGGGGGAGGAGGGTGCTGCAATATGAAAACCAGTGAAGTTGAACACGTGTTACATCAACAGCCAGCTGAAATATTGCATTTAACTATCTGTCAGCACATGTATCTGCACAGCACAGACTTGGTAGAAAAAGTAAGCCCCCGTCTTCCTGATGCAGTTCAGACTCTCACAACCTGAGCTCAGAAAGGAGACGTAAAGATTCAGCTGGGCTCACGTCACCCCTCCTCACCATCCTCAAGGCAAAGTGGCAGCAAAGATGACAAACAACTTTTAGATTCGGTTACAGGCTGCTCTAAATCTCAGAGACTCAGGGTAAATCTCAGACAAAAATCCCCCAAGGAGCCAAAGAATTTCAAGGTAGCTCAGGATAACAGAGATTTTAGTTCACATTTCATTTGGGACTTCATCTCCCCATCTGTCTTGGCAGTCAGCCCTCAGCAGTGTTCCCATGCTCCTGTCCTCTCTAGTTCCCAACTGGGGCTGGATAATTAAAAGCTTTTGAAATTCTTGTCCATTCACATGCTACTTACAAGATGGGGCTGTTTTAAACAATTAGCATCATGGATGTGCTAGGGTACCACTCCTACTGTCCCCAGGCACTATGATCATTTTACTTGTTAAAGGAAAGGGTTACTGTTATTTGAGGCATATTTTTACATTTCTTAGTCTAAATCTCTCTGCCACAGCTTTAAAGAAAGCATTCAAGAATTTAACTCAAGGAAATAAGGACAATTTCAGCCTTCCTTACCGGTGGTAGAACAGATTTTGGAGGAAGAGCAGGGCCACCTCTTTCATGTATAGAAGGCTGTGGTGGACCTCGATCCTGTTGGATCAAACAGGTACCAGGATTAAGCAAGCTCATAACCACAGCCACACTGACAAATTTTACATTTATTATTTTCTACTGCTTTAAGGTACTACACCTAATAAGGTATCTGCATTCAATAGAAATCTGCATGCCAAACAAAGGCAAAACCACTTTCACTTTTTGTACTGAGGGCTAAACAACTTAAGAATTCACATATCCAAATGTCAGAGTTTATGTTAGTGCACCGTTTTTCCTCAGATTCAATGTAGCATCAACCTTTAAAAAACAATGTGATCTTTATATACAGAGAAAATGCAAGTAAAACCAATCCCAGTTCCTCCATCATCATTATTACCGGCGTCAAGAAGAAATATTTCTAGGAAATTTTCAAAGCCAACAGTAGCTTTTCCTGGTGTTCTGAAATGAGTGTTTTAAGGTGTTTTGAGAGACCTTAAAACACTCATTTCATGACACCTGGGGAAAAAAATTAAAATAGGGCTGTAGCAGGCATAAACTGAGGTGGTTGCCAACCTTCCCCTAACAGAGTAAACCAGAAATGGCTGAGCTGATGAATTCTACATGATCTGTACAAAATCTATTGGCCTGAGACATGAGAAGTGAGCTCACATTACAGCAAAGTTGCCCTCACTCATGTTCATAACCTTAACTGACCTGACAGTTTGGAAAGACACCTGAGTCAGACTCTCCTGACGAGGCTGCTGCCAGAAGAGCTGAAGAGAAGAGCACACAAACCTGATCAAGCTTGCCATAAGACCCTTTGGCTGCTGCTGTGGAAACCTGGGTGGCAGACTTAGCACTTGGCTGTTCTTCTGCTTCCTTCTGGTCATCGGGACTCTTGGAATCTTTTGATGGTGTTTGTTCATCACTATGTGCAAAGAAACAACAAAAATGGAACGTGTACTCCACACGGGTATTTAGTGATTATCTTCTAGCCTCAATGGTTCTTAGCAAAGGTTGCCCAGAGCAAGGATAATTCCCACTACACACCCAGCTGACTGGAGTCTGCAGGCAGTCATGCAATTTAATACAGTATTAAATTACTGGAATAAATGTTATTGCAATGAGTACCTGCACTAGTTTCATTCAGTCTTTCCAAAAGCTAGGCTAGTTAAGTGACATTTCACACCCAGCTGGCAACACCAACTCACCCACTTTCCTTCTCTTTTTGACTACTTCCTTGCTCGTCATCATCACTGAAGTTCAACTGCTCGGTGTAATCCACCTCGCTCTGAGCACCTGATGCGTAAACAAATGTTCCATTAATCTTTCGGAAACATTCCACGTACAAATAGCAGACCATTAATCTGATGTTCTTACCTGCCCAACCTTCATCAGCCTCAGCATCCAGATTATCAAATTTATCAAGTTCTTTGAGTTCACTAGCACTAAGAATGGATGGGCGCTCAATGGGTTCTGAACACCAGGAAGGTGGGCCTCTTCCCCTTGGGCCTCTAAAAAAGGAGACAGAAACAAAAGCCACTATTTATCCACAAATGACTAGATAAAAGGTCAACTTGTACGACAGTTATTTGAAATATACTGCTCTCTCAAACACAGTATAAATGTGAACTCTCCTCTACATGTGTGACTACCACAATTCAAACTACTGCTACACCACCAGAGGGTTCTTTGTGACAGAGGAACGCTGGATGCTATAGCCTTGCTTGCACACTTCACAAACAACTCAGACATTGGCTGACAGCAGAAAACCACATGCCTTGTAGCTTTCACACAACACACTGCACAGATCTGGTATCCTTCTCAACACCCATTTATCCACCCTGGAGATATTTCTTTATCCTTTTCATGCTTTCCCACTGTCAAAGATTCTGTACCATCTTCCTACTCCTATACTCAAGTTCTCCCAGTCATCCCTCTCAACCCTCCTATCCTCCTCCTGATCCCAATAACGCATCAACTGTCAGTTTGTACCCTACTGCCCACCAGATCCCCTATTTCCTCATGCATGTGCACAGTCCTCCTCAACTATGGAAAAATGCACAAAAAGGAGGAAAACTGATTTTGTAACACATTAGATTTGAGAACTAGGAATTAACTCCTTTCACTGTAACAATGGAAGAGTCCTTTTACAGGCAAAATACTGGTTGAAGTTTCAAACGTATCCCCAAGTGACTTTTGCTCTTACAAATCAAAAACCCTGTAATGTGCAGAATTTCCTTAAGTTTTTGATTTTGAGCACAAATCACTCCATGGCACTGCTCCACACAAGCCAAACTAGGGAGACTAACCAGTGGCAGTTCTTATGCAGTGTATAATCATCATCGAGAGAGTGCAAATGTCTTCATTTTTTTTAAACTAAGTCCCCGAGTTCATACCCACACAACAAACACTTATAAGGTTTCTTACCTGCTAGGCTCAGAATTGGGGAATCTTGTTGGACCTTGCATGGAAGGAGGATATGCCATTCTAGGATACTGATTAAACATCTAAAAAAGTTTTAAAAATAGGAGTCATTCATTAAAAAAAGTGTAATTGCATTAAGCATACTGAGAGCATAAAAAGAATCACAATGGAAGTAAAGCATGACTTTTCACTCAAAAGACATTTTGCTTAATATCAGAGGTGTGTGACATCAGGACACAAGTGTTAATCAAGTCTTGACAAGTTCAAACTTGGCATAGCAGGAGCAGCAACAGGTAGCCACATCCTCTAAGGTGCTGGTTTCAATCCCACCCTTCCAGCAGAACTGCTGTGTTCCAAGGAGGGAAGAGAAAGGGGCATAAGGAAACCACACCAGCCAATAATCAATTCCTGCTGCTTAAAACTGTTCATGCAGCCATCACTTACATAAGGTGGCATCATTGCTCTGTACTGAGATGAGAGGGGTGGCTGCTGCTGCCCATTCAGCTTGGGCTGAGGGACCTGTGGCAACCGCACATCCCTCTTGTCTCCTGCCTTCTGGCCATCGTTTTGTTCTGCTGGTGTAGCACTGCCATCTTCCTGTCCCAGAGCCTTAGCTTCTTGATCTGTTGGAGAACCAGGAGAGTTGTTCTTAGTATCCCCTTCTCTCCAAGCAGTAGCATCTGAATGGGCAGAATCAGTACCAGAAAAACCCAGAGTAGACTTCATATTACAGATTTACAGACAGGGATGATGAGAAACACACTGTTCCCATCCAGTTCTCAGTGGCACAGAGATCTGTGCAGACACACCTTCATACCTGGTACTGAAACAAGCAATGGCCACTTGAGGAAACAGAAGCTGCTCCTAATCCTCTTCAGCCCTATGTCCAGCTGTGTTCCTGAAGGATCAGCTCTAAATTCATGGACTGCTCTAGTTGTCCTACTCTACCTTCCAAAACACAGTGCCATTTAGGAAGGATTCTGATTATAGCACAAGAGGGAAACCAGATTTAGCTGTGCTAAGTGGGCCACTGTTGACTCAGTGTGAAGATGCTGTCAAAGGAAAGATTAAGCTTCCTAAGCAGCAAAGGCCTACAGGAAACTCTCGGGAAGCTCAAAAAGAAAGATAACCACAGGTATATGCCAAAGTGAAACCAGATATCCAGAGTCTGGCTTGTATCTCTGCCTGGTAAGAATGGAATAGAAGTGATTAGGGCTGTACTTCTCCGTGTGAATGTCTAGCAAAAAGTCCAGGAAAAGTAAGGGATTTTAATGATCTATCACTTGTGCCAGGCAGTCCATTCTTTTAGGAGCTTCTGCCTACAGACTAAGAGGGTCAGGACAAAAAAAAACCCAAACAGAGTACTCAGCAGCAGTTCTCAGATCCATGAGAACCAAAAGAAATTCAGACACACACTGTAAATAGTATTCCTTTAGAGAAACAAACCCTTTAAGGAGTGATAAACTGTGCTCCTAAGTATCCATTACAGTTCCTGCACTTATCTTTGCTGGGGAGCACAGCTGCTAAAGGGGCAGTACTAGCCAAGTCATTTAGCTTTCTGCTGTCAGACACGAAAGAAGGGCTTAATATAGCATGTACAGTGCTGCCCAAAACTGTAACTGCCTGCAGGAGGCTGGGACTGACATGCAGAGCTGTTCTCCTCAGTTGGCGTTGGACAGATCTCAAATTTCCTGACAATTTATTCTTTATACCAAAATCCAGCAAGGACCTGAATAGGCACATGGCCCCAGTCTGCAGGACCTGACAAACAAATGAAGGAAAGCCAGGGCACGTAACACGAAAAGGAGTTAAGGGTTCCCTGAGAGCCCAAATCCTTTAAAAGCAGTTCACCTTGTGCCTTGTACTGGTACAAGACAGTCCTGCCCACAGCGCAGGACAGGACCCTCAGTCCGTCAAACCTCATCAAAAGCAAACTTCTGAGGGAGAAAGGAATCTTGTTTTCCACTGGTAACAAGCACAATCCCAAATGCCTCCCTGTTACAAGGATCTGGGGAAGCAATCCACGCTTCTTCCCTGAGAGCTGCTAACCCAACACCGTTATGGGTTGTTTTCAGTACATCTAATGTCCCACAGCCTCAACAGATCCAGCTGGTCAGAGCACTGCAGCCATGAACCAAAGATGCCAATGCCTTTCAAAGCACAATCCACTCTTTGGGTATCTTGCAGATTAAGCTTTCATTTCAGGATTTTTCAGGCTCCTCTCTTATGAGTACTAACCATTTGGGGACAACCCTAACGACGACTTATATAATTAGTTAATATTACAAGAATTCTTTAAATACATATTTTAGCTGTTGTGACATCTAGCAGCTGGAAGTAAGAAAAAGGCCAATATTGTGCAACTAACAAGTGTTCCTCAGAGCACAACTGGAGTACTGACCAGACTGGCAAAATGGAAAGTGAAAGGATCAAGCACTACCTTCCACACCTCAGGAACACAGTAAAGCAGAGTAAAGCCTGAAATATCCATTTCTTCAGTGCAGGAGCATGTTGATTAAAACAATATATTCATCAGTTTTGTACAGGGCCCAATTAATCCTCTAATATGTTCCACACCCATCCATGCAGTTACACAAAAATTTGCAGCACACACTTACTTTGTGGTCGCAGGCTGGGTCCTGATCCATGGAGCTCTTCGGGTGCATCTTTATCTTTACCTGACTTTTCCTGATCCCCAGCTGCCGGCAGACTGGGAAATTCTTGCTGGAAATAACTATTTACTGGAAGAGGTGGACCTACACAGCAAGATATTCACAAAGTCACAACTTCCTGTAGTCAAAACAGTTCAGAGAGCAATAGAAGCCTGTTCATCCTTCAAAAGTGAGTGTTAAAGCCACATTCATTTACTGGTAATGTAATTCACATAAGTAAAGAGCAATCCTTGTAAAGTGTTCATGTTTGCTATCAGAGTTGTTAAATTTATTAGACCAATTATCACAGTTGGGGCTGAGAAAAATCCAGAAGCACCAGAGAGGAATAATGGACAATGGAACAAGGAACACAGGGAGTACCTGAAGTTCCTCAGCTCTGTAAACACTTTTCCCCACTCCTTCCAGGCAAAGGTTTCCTCCTTTTCATTCTATAACTATAGTGCACCCAGGAATGGGTAACTATGTTACTGCAATGCCTTTAAGATTAATTACTGTTCTAATAATAAATCTTCAGGATTTTAAAAGGCCACAGCTTTTACCTTATGAGAGAAGTATCAGAATTGTAGCGTTCTTGATTTCTAAAAACCTTTGACATTATAACTCAAGATTGGAATTTAAGACATCTGTTGTACCTGGTATGGAAGTCAAATATACAGGTTGTCTTCCTCTTCAGAAAGTTTTGTTGGCATCTACTTTGCACCAATTTCTTCACCTCCCCATTCACATAATGGATAGACCTATATCAGCAGCACTGTAGTGCCCAATCACTGATTATCTTGCTGAGGGGAAATTTCTGTTCCAACAGCCTGAATAACACCCTGTTCCTATACCTGTCTTTACTACTGGCTGCTAAAAGAGACATGGTGTTAGCCTACAGAGATTACTGGGCAAACTCACAAAAAGGGATCTGAACACATGCCATCCAAAAGCCCCCATTCCCCGAGCCGTGCTTTTTTTAACAACTAGAAAAGCTTTTTTCCCCTCCACTCTCTGAAGGAATCATTCCTAACAATAAAATGCAGGGATTTCAGTGGACTTTGGTTGGGTTTTTTCCACGATTAGGAGTCAAGCACAGGATAAACTCCTTACTCTGTACTTTGTAAAGGCATGACAGTAAATGCCACTGTTTATCCTGGTGCCTACAAATCGCCTTGAAATCTTTCCATTTTCATTGAATTCGCATACTACAGATCACATTAACTTGTCTTTTGTTAATGGACACTGACTGTTCATGTTCCCATGCAGCTGCATCCAAAGACTTGCTCTTAACAGGACTGAAAACCACTCACACTAACCAGATGACCTGCCAGGCAAGGGAGCCCCTTCCCAGATCCCGGGCCATGCAACATCCATGAGTTTGATGAATCTTCAAAAATGTTTTCTGCTCAAGTCTACACTGTGAACAGCAACAATGTTTTAAAGGCAAAGTAACAGCATCAGTGATCTCCTTGATTGTGTTTAAGCTCTTAATCTGAAATAGCCAGAATGTCAGCCAGTAGTTCAGACAGAACTTAAAGAATTCAAAGATATTTTGGCAGCATTTAACCCCAAATGTCAGCCAACGCCTGAGCTGAAAAATTCATGCTGCTGTTACATTTCAGAAGGCTTTCCTTTCTACATGGCCACTGACAGGATCAGAAAAGGGTTTAGTCTTGCCTCACTCAAGTTTTACGAGAGCATGAGGCAGTGGCTGAGTGACTGCTGGAACACTCACAAGGCATCTGGAAACAGTACAGGTTCTAAGAGCCAACTGCAGCTCAGGAAAGCATGAGCACAACAGGTGTATCCTGAGTTTCAAACCAGAGGGCAGCAAGCAGCTGATCCCAATTCACATCCAGTATTTCTTCTGGAAACAGCAAACCCGCTCCTGCATTAATTGAATGAAATGAGGGTGCCATCTGGGCTTGGCACACAAGCTGCCATGGTAACTATGAAATAATTAGCTAAACGCATTTTGAAGCCACTGAGCCGAATCACTATTTCCTGTGTCATGGAGATGATCTTATCAGCTTATGCAGAAAGGCTGGTGTGCAGATCACTTTGCAGCAGTGTGAATTCCTTTTTTTTATTCCACAGAAATCTTGTAAAAGCTTGTAGGAGAAAAGTTCCTATATCTGACAATGAAAGAAACACTGAACATCAAAGAGGAGAGCAAGAAATGAAGAATGTAGGATTGTCACTTCTAATATTTAGTGTGAAAAAATCCCAAATCATTGGATATGTGATGTTAACAAACTATATAATGTCTAAGAAGTGACCTCCACGCAATTTAGATTTTACTGTTTTAAAATCTCTATTTAGGAGAGAATTCACTTCTTCAACTTGAAAGCCTAAACTCCATTTTACAGCCACAGAAAGTCTGCAATACTCAAATTTAAGGAACAAAACACATTGCAGAGTATTTTTCACAACGGAGACACAGGAATTCTAAGTAACCTCTCACTCTACAAGCATTTAAAAAATCTGCTGAAGATTCAGTTCTGATCTTAACATTTATAATGTAAGATTAAGTCAAGATTCACACCAATGGAAACAGTTCTCCATCCTTTCATACAATTATGTTAGACAAACCTTTAACTTTTCCCCAGAAAAAAACTACTTGAACACTATCACTTTGATACTAAAATAACCAAGGAATCTATAAAATAAAGGGAAAAGTATTGCTGTAGCACGTGTTAAAACAGAAACACAACTACACGCACTTCACACAAAATGATCCAAAATTATGATCAGGATTATGACCACCAAGTGTTTACGACTCTCCTTCCCATGCCAAGAACTGCAGATGTTGCAGGAACTGACTGTGATTCTCTCTCCTCACCACAGCGATTTCTGAGGTTTTACACTGCCACCACCATTTCCCTGTCAGTTCAGAAGAGGTGACTACCCCAACCCTTTACAAAGCAGTCAGACCTGCTGATAAATCCTCCTGCAGCTGCAGTGACCAGCCACTGTCTCACCTTCCAGCCTGGAAAAGTGCTTCCACAACTTTCCCCAGTCCCAACTGGCCAGGTCAGGACTCAAAGGACTGCTGGGTGTGGAGGTCTCTCCCAGCAGCATTCCCAGCCTGCTGGGCCAGGCAAGAACCCTCCACCTGACCAGCACTTACCATCCTGTCCACCTGGCTTGGTGTTGGCCCAGGATTTGGCAACAGGAGCTGCTTCTGGAGGAGCAGGAACAGCAGGTTTTGGCTGTGTCTGCGGCACGTCTGGCTGTCTGGAATGAAGAGGAAAAGCACTTGTGAATACAAGAGGGTGAGCACAGGATAAGCTCGTCAGGATTGCAAACAAGTGAATGAAATGAGGGAGCTGTGCAGCTGAAGAACCAATAAACTACTTTTCTGCAGAAAAAGCATTTTCTTACAGAAAAGAAGTTGTCATAGTAACAGTCAAAAAAAAATTGAATTAATTAGCTAATTCTTTCAAGAGTCCACTTCCCAAAGTGGAGAGGAATGAATGAAAATGGCTGGGCAGAAAATACAGTCAGGCATGAACTGAATTATAACTTTTAGAGTAGTGTATTGGACAATCAAAAAACCATCCATCTACAACCATCAAAGGGAATAATGTTCCCTTGCCTCAGGAGTTACTAGAGGAAACCACTACAAAACCACCATGAACCGAGAGAAAGAGGGCAAACACGTCAGAAACTAGAAATAAAAGAACTGATAAGGAAAGCTAAAGACATCATGAAAAACTGCGTGGGTACCAGGAACTGGAGCTGAGAAGTTGAAGGCTTAAGAAATGTTCTCAATCTCACCACCTTAACAATGAAGAAACACAAGCACTCTTTTTGTCCAGTGTAAAAAAATTAGACACATAAGACTTTCCTAGTCTGCAGATTCAGTGATATTGTTTAACTTGGTTCCATAAAAGCTATTTCTGAAATCTGCATATTCAGATAACAGAAGACCCACAGCATTTGTGTCTACAAGTCAAGACCTCCAGCTCATTAGCAGTGACTTTTGATAAAAGAGGAACTCTGGGGCAAATCCTGTAGTCTAAAATCACTTTACCATACCAGTAAAGAGATAACTAGTGCAGTATCAAGTCAAGTAACTCCCAGGAAGCAATTGTGTTTTAAGCAGATCCTACAGTAATCCTAAATTTCTGAGGGCTGAGAAGTCAGTTCCATTTGGGTTCTGCAGTGATCCACCCACGCCCTACACAGTAGTCTGAGAACTGACACAGAAGTAAACATCATTTAAAAAAATCACTACTGGGGAGAAACACACAGGCTTCTCACAAGGACAACTGAATGCAATTTTCATTTGTTTCCAGAGATTACTGTGATTTAAAAAAAAAATTATCTTTTTTTTCCTGTTTCCACTTAGTTGTACTTTCTTACAGTTGCACATTTTCTAAGTAGATTTTGGGGAAGTTGTAACTTCCATGGCTATATTTTGTCACACACAAGGGAAACAACGAACAAAACTGTTAAAGAAACTATTCCTTGCATTCATACCCTGTTTGAAAGCCAAGCCGCTTAGAATTTTATTTATCTAAGCACTGTCCTATAGGTGTGGGATGAGGGAAAGAACTCAGCTAAATTAATCAAATCAATACACAACAGGCTGCACTGTCCAGGAACAAGGGACTGTGACCCACAGAACGAGTCACAGCTCAGGAAAGCAGTAAAAAACCTAAATTACAGGGAACAGCTCACTCAGGTGAACTCCAATGCAGTGATACAAGAGACTAAAGCAAACTCTTATCAAGATGTTCCCATTACCCACAAGGCTTGTGAGAGGAACAATAAAACACTCCACATGTAAACTGCAGCACTTCAAGCATGTTGAAATATCACAGAAATACAGGAGTAGTTACACAAATGGCCTGAAGACTTGAGCAAACACTTCAGATGGTCCAAATGAGGAGAATCTACTCATGGCCTGGGCACACACACCTGTTCCTGGGAGCAAATCCCTCCCCCTCCTTGTTTTACTTGTATGGGCTCTTCAAGGCCTTTATCAGAATAATACATATGCAAACACAAAGGCAAAACACTTCCAATTGCAGATAAAGGACAGCCACTTATTTTTAAACATAACATCAACTACTGGAATATAACACATGCAGGAGGCCATGGAAAAGCAAAGATGCAGAAAAAAAATGTGTTTTAGTCAAACAAGCTGCAGATTTAACAGGACAAAGTGCAAGTGACCTTGCAGTAGAGGAAGATGTTGTTAAAGTATCAAGCAAAACACGGGGCAGAAAACTGTAAATTTGCAGTTTCAAAAGCTTAAAATAAAAGACTGAACACAACACCATATTCCTGAAGTGTAATAGCTTTTCAAAGAGATGGTAAAATAAATAAATAAACAAATAAATAAAGGGATGGTAAGATGGGGAAGAAAAGCTTTAAACCTCATCTTTTGCTTTCACAAGTGCTAAAAACATCCAGTCAGTGCCTCTAGCTTCAACTGTTTTTCAGAACAATCTGTATGATAAAGAATTAACATTTAAACCTTGCTTCTACTTATGTAGTGAGAATCACATCCTATTTTAAGCTTACGTGGTAAAATATCTGCTTTGTAATATTTTCCAAGTAGAAACTGAAAAGTTGTAGTTTCTATTTTCTTCAGCTGTACAAATGTGAAACAAATTTAGCAGATGAAACTGCATTGAGCATGGGAAAGTTATATTATACACAGCATAAAGTGCATCAACATTGCCATCACTTCTGTTTTGGTTTTACGACATATTGGAGGAGTTTGAAACAGTAGTGTAGTTTAAGACAGAAAATTTTTTAAGTCTGTAGAATTTATGGCATTCCAGCAAAAAAATCCTGAAGTGCAAATATCAAGAACCATTAGAAAAATAAAGCAGAGATTCAATAAATGTATATAAATCAAGAGTTTGTGCGTTTTCTGTGCCATAGTTCAGCATAATCACAATTAAACAGATTTTTCCATACTTTCATGAATTTGAATATTATTATTTAACTTAGCTGCTGTGCATCTCAGGGTTCCTCCTAGAGTTTCAAGAGAATTTTATTAAAGGTGGTTACACTGATCTTACAAAAATATTTCCTTTAAGCAGACATCAAAACTTACACACAGGTAGCCACCATGTGACTAAAGGAAATACTCTTCCCTCATGTGGAATTTTTAGGTAGACCACTTCCATTTTAAGTGTGTATGTGTGTTTTTGTATGTGTGTTTTTTGTGGTTTTTTTTTTTAGCTATCCCCCTAACAGCAAGATTCTTCCTCACAAAAATTAGTAGTGGTGCTATTTCCTCTCTGGCAGCTACTCTGAGGACTTTATCAAGTTCTGGGCCCCTCTGTTCAGGAAGGATGTGGAGGTGCTGGAGCAGGTCCAGGGAAGAGCAACAAGGCTGGGGAAGGGACTGGAGCACAAGTGCTGTGAGGAGAGGCTGAGGGAGCTGGGGCTGTTCAGCCTGGAGAAGAGGAGGCTCAGGGGAGACCTCATCACTCTCTACAACTCCCTGAAAGGAGGTTGTATCCAGGTGGGGGTTGATCTCTTCTCCCAGGTAACCAGCAGTAAGACAAGAGGGCATGGTCTCAAGTTCTACCAGGGGAAGTTTAGGTTGGATATTAGGAAGAAATTCTTTACAGAGGTGGTAATCAGGCACCGGAATGGGCTGCCCAGGGAAGTGGTGGATTCTCTATCCCTGAAGGTTTTTAAGATGAGACTGGATGTGGCACTTGGTGCCATGGTCTGGTAACCACGGTGGTAGTGGATCAAGGGTTGGACTTGATGGTCTCAGAGGTCTTTTCCAACCCGGCTGATTCTATGATTCTAAGTCTAGCCAATTCCTCCCCAGGCCCTGCCCATCCTTAGTTTTGGGGAAACTGGACAGAACTGGCACAGCAAATCAAGGCAGAGCTCATTGGTCGCTTACTTTTCCTCTTCGTGCTGCTCCTGTTTCGAAGCCCATCCTGTGCCGTCTTTAGGCACAATGTTCACATTGGGGTCATTGCCTTTGTTCTCTGCTTTGAGACTGGGCAGGTTGGCTGGGGGAGGCATCCTCCTGGAAATAGCAACTTTTCCAAGGCTCTGTAATCCATGGCGTGCGGCAACTGCAGGGCAAAGCAGAAAGGGCAAGTCAGTGGGGCTGTTTAGCAGACAGGGTTTATGCAAAGCTACACAGAAACGTCCTGCGAGGAAGTCAGAAAAGTTTCAGAGTACAAGAAATAGAAATTCAAAATGCTTCATGACTGAATTTTTTTAAAAAGGCAATTGGAAATACTTGGTTTGGGAGAACTTGAGTATTTTTTGAACAGCCATTATTCCAGATTAAAAAGGATATGTGGCCCCACCTCTACGCACAATGGTGACAGAAAGCTAGAGAAGTCACTTAAAATACGATGTTGATGTCTTAATATCCTTCAATATTTCATCAAGCATAATTCTCCTGCTCCTTTTGGAACTTAGTGTACATTGATGAGTCCAGGAATATCCACATGGGTCCAGCCCAGTTCTTTTTTGCTGCCAATTTCAGTTGGCAGATGTTGCCCTCACAAAAACATTCCTACAAAGTGCATTAACTCCAGACTACGAGCATAAAAAAGCAGTACAAAGCTAATGCACCACACAGGACACTTAACCTACCAAGTAATCAACTCAAGTGAACAAGTACAAGTGACTGCCCTGGGCAAGCTGTGTCATCACAAACAACTCAGTTTCAACCTTTAAAAATAATATTGTGGCAAACTTTAACAAAGTTTGAATTTGCTTTCCCTCTTTCACCCTCAACTTAGGCTACTATGTCAAATCAAATTCAAAACCTTCAGAATGTCATTCTCCCCTGGTTCTCAATCCCATCAGTCACGAAAAAGCAGGCTCACAGTCACCTTATTTGAGGTGTCAGTGCAAGTTTCACCCAGTGTTTGTCCACAAAACAGACAAAGCACCCGACCTGAAAACAAGCATTGCCTTCTCCTTAATCAAACACTTCCAGTACCTCAAACCTCACTGCAGTGAAAAGCACAGCTGGGGAATGGCATCTCATCTGCTGATAACAAATGGAGCCACGGCTATAAATCAGCTTTTATTTACCTACATTCTACTTCCTACTAGACTGCAAATGCTGCCTCTGAACTGACACTCTTGTTTACAGCTAACCAAAAATTATAATGAATGCTGCTTTCCACAACCCTCCCACTTCACTGCTGGACCAAGCAGGTAAGAAAAAAAATCTTGCTGTGGTTAAGCGCTCATACACTTTGCACCCTTAATTAGCACTGCAGTGATGATGAAACCGAAAGAATGCACCACTGCAGACAGTTCACTCACCTGTGGTTTTCTGAGTTTCCAGTGACTTTCCCTTGTAAGTATTAAACAGACTGAGTGTTGCATACTTTGTTTTTCCATCCTTTGCTTTTGTACTCTGGCCTGACTTTTCCGACATTTCGCTGGAAACTCATCTAGTCTGGTACCTCCTGTTCACTCCTCAAAATTTGCCTGTAAAGAAAAACAACAGAAAAGTAAAACAGTCTGAATATAAGCCAGCATTTAAGTCAGAGCTCACAGGGCAGAAGTGGACAGCATATTTAACACCACTAATGCTGTTTCATTTCAGCATACTGGAGATGCCAAAGGATGCATTAACTCCAGAAACCTCTATCCTTACGTAACACTAGGAACTCTGAAGTATTTCCATCTCTACAATTTGAACATCACAAAATCCCGAGTGTCAGCATTTAATTAACATCAAACACTGCAGAAATGATAAATACCATCCATGATTTCACTACAAAACAAATAATTAAAACCCAATCCCAATCCCCACAAACATGCAAAGTTTCCACCAGCAGCTATTTCTCCACTGGGGAAGCTCAATGACTTCACCCACTCCCGAAGCCAAGTGCTGAGACACCATTAACTGCAGTACAGTATTTCTGGAATTTGCCTTTTTTCCAATTAAAATCATCACAAACACAGCAGCCAGAGAAACTAAATACACAGAGTAAGACTTTTTTGTTTATCAAAACTAGGGACACGGTATGATCAGACAGGGAGGGTGAGAATTCCTTAAACCAAGAGTTACACTGTTCTTCCTGCAGCAGTAAATTACAGGGCTGTTAGAGCAGGTCATCTCTTTCCTCCTTCCTTCCTCTGGAATAGAAGGCCTTGAGAGAAAGAACCCAGGAATTAACACTGATACTTCACTACAAGTTCTCAGAAGGAACTTGCCAGAGTTGCTGTTCATCACCAGGCAGGAACACAAAGAGCATTCACTTAACCAGAACATTGATTTTAACACTCCAAAAATCCTGCTGGCCTCTTTACAACAGCAATTTTTTATATATTTCCATCTGAATTCCAGAATAGCTATGTATGCTCAAATACCCCTGTGTTTTGTTCTAAAGCAAGCAGCAAGAAGCAAGACATCCTGCTCAAATCTCAAATCCTCTGGTGATCAACAAGCTCCAATGTCAAACTCAGAGCTGCAGAAAATCTTCAAAAGGAATTTGATTCACATTCAAGGTGCTCATGGATTAAGGAGAGTCTGCAAGGACAAGCAGTCTAAAGAACAAAGCCCTTACTTAGTCATGACGGACATTAAATAATGTCAAAAGACCACGGAAATATTAAGCAATGTCAAAAGACAGTGGAAATTTTTTATATAGGAATGATAACATTCCCATCCTCCTCTGCCTTCTACTTCAATTTACAAGCCATGATTGAAAAGACGAAAAAAATTAAGATGGCCAATAACCTTGGGGTGGTTCAGCTTCAGCATAACTTGGGCCAGATGCTTTTCTACTACAACCCATGCAGGCTGTTGCCAAGGGGACAGTCTTCAGCTTCCTATGGGGCCACATACATGGCTAAGAAATATATTCTCCCCTCACAAAAAGCCAGTAACTCCCAGATTTTTTTTCCAGATTAGTCAGCATTTGGCTATTTCAACAGCAAGTGTTACACCAACAGTCATTCTTCACGTCATCCAAACCCATGAAACACAGGATGGAAGCAGGGAGAAAGAACCCAGCCCACCAAGCAGATCACAGACCTCAATTTGGCTGTTAGGCCATCCCTCATCTATCCAAAAAAACTTTGACACTGTAAGGTTTCACTGGAAGCCACAGCTCACTACTCAAACTACAGGTGCAGGGAAGGGAAAGCCCACCCAGCCTGACACATGAATTCTGACAAGCTTATCTTTGGAGTTATCAGTCCAGCATATTTCAAGCACCCATTCACTCTGCAGGCTGCCTCAACACTTATTTGCAATTCAACAACATGTCAAGCTTTGCCCATCAGGATTATTCACGGCCACACAACTGCTTTCAGCCAGTCTGGAGACCTGAATCCAGGAAGACTAGTTTATCAAGCTGGAGTCTAGATCAGACATTAGGCTACTCTTCCATGAGGAAAATCAGTTTATCATAAGGTCTTCAGTAAAAGGTCTGTGAATGAAGCTGGCACATTCATCCCTTCAATTCTCCTGTTACCCTCTGCTCCCAGACTTGTATTTGTGATAAAGAGTCCACCACAATCATCCTGGAGCATCAGAGCAGGCATTGGGCAGATAATTACCAGGAACACAGGGTGGCAAACAAGCTTCCAGGTGAGCATAGAACTTATGGAGTCCTATGCTATAATCACTGTGCTCACACATCCTTTCAAGTGCAAACAACTCATATACAGCTTTCATTTGCAGCAAAAGACTCATCCTAGTCAAGGATTTTGTACACATGAAGTAGCTTCACAACTGTGAATAATCTGGAAGCTGGCAAACAAAACCAATCGACCAACCAAAGAAAAAAGAGGAAATAAAAAGACAAATCAGGTCATTTCTTACCCCTCTGATTTACAAAGCCCTAACAAGATGCAGACAGAGCAGAAAGAAGTCTGAGAATGGTTTAAGATAATGTTTTGTCATATTTTCCAAAGCCTGCACCTCTGGTAGAGACGAAACATGGAAAATCTTAATCATAACTCTTCTTTACAGAGCAAGACACACTTCATAGTTGGGCAGACCTTAATTGTAACAACTGTTCCTTCTACATTTGAGAGCTTAAAGAACAGGAGACAGTAACCACGTTCCCCAATAACACCTTTTTATGTTAAATTTACAAAAATTAGTCTGCTCATTACAGCTGAGCTCTATGCCTTTGATATTACTGAAATTCATACTGTTTGACAAGTTTTTCCAAACTTTTACTACAGAGAAAAATAAACTGAATATTTCATAATGATTAAAACATTTATAATGATTACACATTCCTCAGTAATATGACTTGCAGAAATAAATCAAGCATCACACAGTGCTCTCTTCAATTAAGCAGGTCAATATATTCATATTTAACTAAATTTAGACCTGATACTGGTTGCCAAAGAAGATAATCTCGCAAAATTAGACTTTAGACCAGGTACTCAAGCCAGGGATGACAAATCCTCCCTCTGAAGAGCCCATGTGTCCCTCTACAAACATTCCTGCCAAGTCACACATTAAACAAGCACCCAGTGCCATCCAACAACAGTTATAAAGAGATAATTGCAAGGTTTTGAGCCACATGAAACTATCCAGCTCCAAGAGCTCCGCCTTTTCCTCCAAACTTTAGTTGTACATGCTACATTCCCATGCCAGAGCACTGGAATCACTCCTGTAGAACAACCTACCAGGTGTTTTAACACAGGACACGTTTAACCTGTGCACAGAATACATTGGCAAGTCCCAGGCTCACCAAGTGACTCTTAATTTGCCCTAACCCTGACACATTCTATCAGTGAGGCAGCTGTTAGTCCGGACTCTCTCAGTCCAGCCCTTAAGGTGCTGCTGTGCACTAGGTTTGGACTCGCCGTGCTGTGAGTAAGAACAGGAGGCAGCTGCACACACCTCTGAACAGCAGCGACACAGGAAAGATGTCAGAGCTACTTAGCAAAGTTAAACCACCCCCACGGCAGGGAACAGAAGGACAGGGAACAGCACAAGCAATAATGGCAGTTGGCAGGGCTCACTGCACTGTTAAGAAATCCAAGCAAGTCAGCTGTTCACTTTGAATGACTACAGTTACTATTAGGCATAATTACAGAAGGCACAATGCTCCCAAAATTCTAGAGCAAAGATTACCTTTCAGCTGCTCTGCCACGTTATCAAATAAGTTAACTGACCTCCGCTGTGGCCTTAAGATTTTCAAGTTAAAATTGTTACTGTAATTTCTGTACCAGACTATTTCTTCAGACTCCAACTGGCTGGCTTATTTAGATCCCACACTGAACTTGGAAGCTTGTGTACAGAAAATAGCACACTAAGTAGCTGCCACAAATTCTAGATATCCTGGTCTCAACTAAGGGATATTTACTTGTACCCTCTTAGATACTGAGAGTTGGTACAGAGGAAACTGAATGTGGTATAATTCACATTGCACAATCATATTTTTAAAATACCATAAAACCCCATCAAACAAACCCCACACACATTTAACAGACCTTTTCCACTGGCTCTCCTGATCGCTTCAAAATTCCTCAAAATGACTTGTTTTTGAGGTCACTTTTGAGGACTGGAGCGATGAGAAGTTTAAAATATCTAACAATTTCACTCAGCAATTCTTGTCTGCTTTCAGTCCTTCTCTGCCACCACGCCCATTTCAGTATTTTCAGTTGTACATGACACCAGTTTTACACACATGCAGAGCAGAACAGCGTTCTGTGTAAGCTACAGTATATTTTTCTTGGTGTAGTAGTACAGACAGACATGAAAAGGGGAAGAAAGCTGTGAAAAGACTCAGGTAGAAAGTCTACTTTATCCACAGGGTTTTTTTAGCAGGGACAGATCAACTCTCACTATTGCCATGGGAAATAACTATATTCTCTTTGTTATAGTCTTCCAATTTATACATTTTTGCCTATGTTTGAGACACAGCATCCACCATTCCTCCTCAACTTTGGGAAAAAGATTACTACATTCTGCATTTTTCAGATACCCCATCGTAGCTGGTGGGAGCACAGACAACCAGATGACAAACTCTCTCAATCCATATTTTATACACTGCATTTTTAAACCTCTAGCCAAAAAAAGTCTGTATTTTTAACACAAGTGTAACATGTGAAGGCACCTCTTCAGCAATATTGCAGTGGCTTTTAATGCAGTCCTATCCCCTTGAACCCCCCATCCCACACCTGCTGAGCCTACAAGGACACAATCAGTTAGGACAGGCAACCTGCACATGAGCTTCCCAGAATTTTAGTCTTAAAAACACTAAGCAAACACTGGGATAATTCCCACAATCCCTATGCAACCACAGGAGGACATCTAGTACCTGTCACCTCCACTCCAATGGTTGTATGACAAGGCAAAGAACACCATTCAAGACTCAAACCTGCTAAAGATTTCCTAGAACCTTCAACTCTCAGAGCCTCAAATGCCCATCTGTGAAGTGGGAAACATCATCAAAAACACTACATGAAAGTTTATTCATAACTGGGACACATTAGCACCTCTCTCAAAACAG